TCAGACGCACAAGCACCTTTCAAGGGCGAGTGAAGTGGGGTTAAATGGTGGAGCCCGCGGAGGCTGCGGCGGGCCCAGGAGGAAATCGCCACCCGCGCTGCCAGGACAGCACCGAACTGAGGACCTGCTGTGTCCCCGTGTGAGGCACACTCTGGCTTTTTTAAATCAAAGCAGCAGAAAACGTAAATACTGAACAGGAAGCACAGGAGCCGTGAGCAGTTCCTGGTGAGGCATGATCTCCCTCGCCTGCCATCGAACGCCCGTTGTTTTCCCGGCCCCGGCCTGGAGCAGGCTGCGGGCCTGAGCCGGGGCCGCGCCCGGCAGACAAGCTCCGTCTGCACCCGCCTGGACGTGGTCACCACCGGCGCCAACATCTCCCTTCTGACGGGGCTTGGCCCCGCGGCGGCTGGTGCGTGGACGCCTGGTAACGTGTGATTTCTTTAACTGAGCAAAAGGAACCTCTGAAAGGAGGGAGGGTCAGCCAGACATTGGGGGCCCAGAGGTCAAGAACAGGAGCTGCCTCAAGTGGCCCTGGTGCCCCGGGGAGCCATGCTGGGGGGCATGCCACCACCCAGGGGCTTCTCTGCTTTGTGTGCCGGGAACCCGTCCCGCCAAACGGACGCCTCCGGTCACAGGCACGCTCGTGCAAGGACACTGGACACGTGGCTGCCCAGGGAGCGTCCACGCTCACATCGCTTCCGTGCGAAGCCGACAATGCCAGTTTGTCTCCATCCAACAGCACTAGGGTGCTTCTATTGTAATTAAAAAAGGGTTCTGTGGCTGAAACAGGTCTGGCTCAGCGGATAGAGCGCCCGCCTGCAGACTGAAGGGTCCCAGGTTCGATTCCGGTCAAGGGCATGTTCCTTGGTTGCGGGCACATCCCCAGTAGGGAGTGTGCAGGAGGCAGCTGGTCGATGTTTCTCTCTCATCAATGTTTCTAACTCCCTATCCCTCTCTCTTCCTCTTTGTAAAAAAATCAATAAAATATAAATTTAAAAAAAAAAAAAAAAAAAAAAAAAAGGACTCTGTGGCCCTGCTGATCGGACAGGCTTCTCCAGGGGAAGTGAGGGGCGGGAGACGGGCCGGCCTTCCCGGTGAGCGTGCCCAGCTCAGGTAGGCCGTGCCGGGGCCGCGTTAATTATTATTAAACAAGCAGCTGCGACGCGATTAGACAAATATTAAAACAAGCCTGGCTCTCAGGTATTAATTTGCACTCTTCACTCTTTAAGCACGGCGAATATCTCATTAATTTAATTTTAGGTGCCCGGCGTTTACAACGCATTTTACAGTCTAGGAGGCAATCTACTGCTAACTGGCAATTACATACAGAGTGATTGTTAATTCTGCTCCTCAGTGCTAGCCGCTTGGAAACGGCTCTCGCTCTCCTGTCCCTGACCTCCTCACAACAGGGCTGTGAAGCTCGCTGGGAGTACGCCGGCCTGGGATGGAGGAGCCGGGCAGCTAATCCACCCAACGGCCACTGCTTCCCGAGGCAGTCGTGTCTCTAGAGCGAGAGAAGGCCGAGGGGCCCGGCGGAGGGGCCTGGCCGCCTCCCCTTCCCTGAAGACCTGGTGTTTCTCGGATCCCCGCACACAGATCTCTTCGGCCCGGGGTCGGCAAACTCATGAGTCCACAGAGCCAACCATCAACAGCACAAGATTGACATGTCTGTGGAGAGCCACATGTTTTAAACTTAAGCTTCTTCTAACGCCACTGCTTCAACGCAGACTCGCCCAGGCCGTGGTGTTTTGTGGAAGAGCCACACTCAAGGGGCCAAAGAGCCGCATGTGGCTTTCAAGCCGCAGTTTGCCGACCACGGCCTTGGGCCTTCGCCCCTGCGGGCGGGGCTCCTCGGGCGGGGGGGAGGGGGTGCCTGATGGGAGCCAGATGCCCAGGGGACCGTGCCCTCCCTGCGGGGCCGCCCTGAGCCCGCGTGCAGAGGCGGGATCGGCTTTCAGGGGCGCAGTTCCCAGTGATTACTCTTTGTCCCCATCAATTCCAGGGCAGCCGAGTCAGACAGCAGCTTCCAGGTCAGACAGGCTGTGACCCCGCCTCGCCTCGGCTCCCGGGGAGCGCAGGCCGTATCCCTTACAGGGCGTTTGAAATGTATATTCCCGTTAATGACCGGGGTGGGGGAGGCGATAAATTAGCTGCTGCTCGCAGAGGCCGCTCCCTGAATGGCCCCATTGAAGGCCCCTCCGTGGGAGAAGTCCGTGGAGAGAGTCCCGGAGCCCCGGGCCGCCGGGTCCCTGAACGCCGGGCCCGACCAGCCGTCCGCTTACAGGGGGCGCCATGTCCACGGGGAATGGGAGACGGGCGGGCCACCGGGTGGCTGATGGGCCGGACTCAGGCTTAACCCCTCCCCGTGGAGGGGGGCGGCGTAGGACACCCCAGAACTCCAAGAGGTGGTGGCTGGCCGAGGCAGGGGTCCTGGCCGGCTGGAGGGCACAGAGGTGGCCATGCCCGGCCGGTGTAGCTCAGCGGTTTAGCATCAACCCAGGATCCAAGAGGCCACTGTTCACCTCCAATCAGGCCACTTGCCGGGTTGTGGGCTCCATCCCCTGGGGGGGGGGGGGGGGGAAGGGATGTGCAGGAGGCAGCCAATTGATGATGTCTGTCTCTCATCAATGTCTGTCTCTCTCTATCCCACTCTCTCCCCTTCCCCCCTCTCTAAAAGATCAATAAAAACATTCTTTTAAAGAGGGTGGCAGAGAGAGCTGCTCGGACATCTACCCTCACACGTGCCCTGGAGCAGGCCCTCGCCATGCGACACCCATTGGCCACCCACTGGTGGCTCCTCCAGGCGCGTTTCCCAAAGGCACCTTTGTTCACGAGGCCCAGCCCAGTGCCCTGCTCTCCCCCGGGACCAGAGTCCTCAGAAAAGAGTAGCATCGCTCACAGCCAGCCCATCTCCCCTGAAAAGCCCACACGTGGGGAATCTGAATGCCAAGGTCAACACAGGACCCACTGAGGCCCATGGGGTGAGGGTGGGGGCGGAGACAGACGGACTGAACCCCGAGGGCCCGACAGTCCCATGGAACAAGGAGTCTCACATCCACGTCTCTGCGGAGCAAGTCGGTCTTGCCACACAGATCCACACACCCTTTGGTGCCCCAACATGACTGAGGACCATGTGTCACGTGGTAGACACGTGGAGGAGCATGTGTCACGTGGCAGACACGTGGAGCATATGTCACGTGGCAGACATGTGGAGGAGTGTGTCACATGGCAGACATGTGGAGGAGTGTGTGTCGTGTGTGTCACGTGGCAGACACATGAAGGAGCGTGTGTCACATAGCAGACACGTGGAGGAGCGTGTCATGTGGCAGACAAGTGGAGGAGCATGTGTCACATGGCAGACACGTGACGTGGCTCTCAGTGGAGAACAAAGGTCCCCTTCTTTGAGGGACTCAGGACCCCGACAGCAGTTGTACCTTGGAAACTGTCCACAGGAGGCACTGCTCAGCGGGTACCACTCCCCAGGGGTCGGACATGCCCAGGTGTCCCTTGACCCTCACAAACGCGCAGGTGGGGCCAGCAGAGTGGCACTCAGGTTGGAGCCCGGCGCCAGGTCCCCGGCCAACACCAAGCAGAGCAGAGGGGGCCCACTGCCCCCGCAGCCTGAAGTTCACGGCCAGAGACGCAGAGACGCGCAGCCCCTTGGCCAGCAGTCGGCGAAGAGGCACGCGGTCTCCTGCTGAAGTGTGGGCACGTGCTCTCCGAGTGCCAGCCTACAGCCCTCTGCGTGTCTGCCCCTTTCCACACACTGGGAGCCCCACCAGCTGCACGGCTGCCCCCGCCAGCCCTGGCCTTCCCAGGAGCCAAGAGCACCCGACCAGGAGGGGGCGGCACCCAGGCCAGGAGGGGCCAGCACACCACCCACAGCTTTTTGCCAACACACTTGTCCTGGGGTTTGGGCAGCTCTGGACTCGCAGGGGGGAGGGGAGGGGAAGGACGTGCTAGGCCCTGGGAGGAAGTGAGCCCTGGTGTGGGGCAGGTACCCCCACACACACCCTGGGCCACATGGAAGGGTGCTGAGGGGCTCAAAGAGAAGGCATCCTCCCCATCAAGGACCCAGGTGTCACTGGCAGCCCAGCCTGGCCCGGGGTGACCTGGTCTCCTGGAAAGTGGGTGCTGAAAGCATTTACACTCTGCATGTCACACTCCCTCAGTCCCTAAAATCGGGGTGGGTGAGGCACCTCCTCTCTTCACACTCCAAAGTGGGAGGGACCTGGAGCCCACGTCACCTGCCCGCTGGACGGAGGACAGCCTTCCTGGCGGGAGCCCAGTCCTGCCGGGGGTCCTGCCGCTGGTGACAGCTTGTGGAGCCCCAGCCCAGGCTCCCTTGGGGGCCGCCTGCCGCCCCCGTACACATCCCGGCCACAACTCCCGGGGACGAGCCCTCGTCCACGTCACCCTCCTGGGTGTCAGCAGGGCTGCCCTTCGTTAGACACACCTCTCAGACGTGACAGTGTTTGCTCTTGGCCGGGACAGGAACCGAGCCCTCCTCAGTGTGGGGAGACGCTTATTCTGAGCTCGAAGGAATCCCACCAACCAAGCAACGTCCCGGTACCAACCGTCACCACAGCCCTCCCGATGGCACCGGCTCCTCCCACACCCTCGCAGAAGCGGCGTACGGCACGCCGGAGGCCCCTCGGTTACAGGCTGTGTGACCTTGGGTGGTGCCAGGTGACTTAGCCTCTGAGTTTGGCCTCGTGCACATGAGCGGCGGTGACCTCATTGGGCAGCCCCGGGAGGTTAGCTGAGGTGACCTGTTACCAATAACCACCCCTCCCGCCCCAGCCTGGCTGGCCAGGCCAGGAGACTGAGGGCCCAGGTCACACGGCCGGTTGGGCCGTACCTGTCCCCGGCGTCTCTGCAGAGCGGCTGGAGTCGGACACTGCCTGACACTGCCCCGGCCTCTGTGTGTGCCCTCCCCACGTGTGCTGTCCCGAGGGGCGTCCCCCGCTTCGCCACGCACGCCATCGGGGGGCACTCACCGGTGTAGACGAAGCGCCCAGGAGCGCCTTTGCAGAACTGCTTGGACTTGTAGGACAGGGTGACCTCCACCACGCCGGGAATGTGCCTCGGCGGGGTCTGGACGCGGATGGCGTGGGGCGTGATCAGCTGCAAAAACCACACGGCGGGCAGGCTTTCAGGGCGCGGCCAGGGAGGGGGGCCCTCGCCGGTCGGGCGTAATTACCAAAATGAGCAAAATGGGGCCGCTGTCTCGGAGCGCCCGCGCCTCGCTGCTGCCCGGAGGGGCGGGACCAGAGCTCTCTCAGGAAGAGGTCTGCAATCGGGCCCGGGTTTTAGTTTGCAGGAAAGGCCACAGGGCATCATTCATATGAAAATTGCCACCATATGTCCCCAGCAACCTGCTCTGGTGATGCAGGCCCCGGCTGTTCCAGTGTTGGGGGGGGCCCTCCTAGGACAGGGCTGGAACCCCAGGGCTGAGCGGGGGCATTCTGCACCTCCCCCCAACACCAGGAACGTCAGGGAAAGGGGAATTTGCCCTCGGGCGCTCGGGTCTGTGCCGTCCACCCCCCTTCCCCTGGGGAAAAGCTCCCGCCGTGTCCCCGTGGCCAGGCTCACCTCGCTCCACACCAGCATCGTGCCGAACACCACCTGCAGGCCGTCGAAGAAGTTGTCCCCGATGATGATGACGGTGGCCCCGCCCGTGGTCCAGCCTTCGCTGGGGCTGATGGCCTTGATGCACGGAGTGGCTGCTCGCACAAGACAGAGAAGGCAGCCTCAGTGCTCGGCCGGCCACGCCTGCGCTCACCCGCCTCGGCCGCCCGGGGCCCGCCCACGGCCGGCGGGGAGGAGGGCGACCGTACATCCGCGCGCCCAGGTGTTTAAAGCAAACTGTTAATGTTTTATAAAGCGGAGGCCAGGCCGCAGCCTACGCGTGAGCAAGAAGGGAAAAAAAAAATAGCGAACTGCGTGTCAGGGCAAACAGGACGATTACACATGATCAGGCCGCGTGTATGCGTGGCACGCCGATCTGTCTGCCCGCCATCCGGTCTGGGCAGAGCCGATCAAAGGGCTGAAGGGGCTGGAGGGCCCGGCACCCCCACTCCTCGGGAGCAGCTAATGGGGTTGGGCTTTCCGTCCGCGAACTTGGCCTTTCGGTTAAACTTCATTTTCCTCTGTCACTCCACAATGACCACTTTCCGCTTTTCAAAGGTACACGTTTTACATTCAGTATTGTTTGTCAACAGGAATCAACGCGCCGCGGGCCTGACCTCTCTTTGTCTCCCAAGCCCTCGCATCTGCCTGAGTCATTACCACGCGCTGCCGGCCTGGCCTGCGCACAGCGGCCCTGCTAGAGGGAGGGTGGTGGTGGGAGGGCGGGGGGGGGGGGGGGGAGGCCAGGGGGCAGGCAGGCAGGCGGCCCCGGGTGGAGGCCGGGCTGGCTGAAGGCTGCGGCCTCCTGGAGGCGACTTTGTTCTGTTCTTTGATCAGCCCCTCGGCGAGGCGGTGGCAGACCTTGTCTCCTGCCTTTGATGGCCTTTGGTAGGCAGGCCCCATGCCAAGGAGGGGCTCCTTGGGCACGCTGGCTGCCCCTCCCTGCTCAGGGCACACACGTGTCACTGGCAGGGCCTCCCTGACTAGCTGGTGCTGTCCTGGGACTCCAGGCCCACCCTCCCCCTCTCCCTCTCTCTCTCCCTCTCGCCCTTTGGTGTAGGCCTGTGGGCTGGTGCTGGGCGGCTCCCAGGACTTGCCAGGACTCCTGCCTGGTGCCGTCCGGAGGGAGTAGGAGGCCCAGGCCCCCATCCTCCATCCACAGAGAGGAGCCGCATCCCTGCCCCGGGCCACCCCGGGGCCTGTCCCCTCCCCCTCCCAGCTTGCAGGGTGGGTACAAAGACGAGCCGTGGATGGAGGAACCTCTGAGCACCTCTGTCCAAAAAGTATCACTAATCTTGGGGGGATTAAGGGGGGCTCCCCCCAAGCCGCCAGGTGCCTGATTGCTCCCTGGGCTGTGTGCACAGACTGGGGCCCCCCAAGGCTACGGCAGGGCCTGACCCCACTGCTCATCTCATCGGGGCCCCCATGCCGCGCGGCCCCCGTCAGATAAATCATCTTTCCAGGCTCCGGGTCAGCCGCGGCCGCACGCCCTCCTAAGCGGGCGTTTTCCGGAAGCCCGTGCGGCAGCTCCCCGCCGGTCATGGCGGCCCGCGGCTGACACCGTCTAGTTAATCACCATTAGCTATTGTTGTTGAGCAGCCCGCCGACATGCCACCTTCCTTTGTTTGCTCTAATGTCGGGCTGGCGGGGGTTATATTTGCTCATTCCGCCAGCAGCCCCCTCTGCCGCGGGAGCGCAGAGCACACACTGGGAGCCCGCCCTTAACTAGCGCTGTTGACTTCATGCTAATAAGTTCATACAAATTTTCATTTCTGAGGCTTCCGAATGACATTTGCTTTTCTTAATTGCATGGAGAGCATTTGAAAAGGATCAGCTCTCTAAAGACTGACAAGTCTCCTCCAAGGGGGTGACCTTCATCAGCACAGCCAATTATGGCAAATAATTCACACCAAAAAAAATTACAGTAAACAAATTTACTTTGGAGGTGAGAAAAGAAGGAGAAGGAGAAGGGAGAGAAAAAAAAAGAAAAAGAAAAAAAACCTGGGCTCCGCGGCGCGCACGCACGGGGACTGCTATCTGGCAGCTGCGGCCCTCGGACGGCACATCGCGGAATGCAACGCGCAGGCCGACGGGCGGGGAGGCACCCGGCCTGGCCCGGCCCCCGCGCCGCCCACCGATAGCCATCTTCCTGCTGCCCGTGATTTGCATACATTTCAATGCACATATAGAGAGGGAACATGTGTTCAGTGGGGACCATGGCGAAATGAATTACACAGACGGCGTTGGAGATCTAATGATAGACGTGCACAATGCTCGCCGGCAGATGACGGAGCTGGCACGCCAGCTGAAGGTGCAGGAGAGGAGCGGGTCCCGGAGGGAGGGGGGAGGGAGCCCCCCAGGGCCCCCATCTCTCTCCTGGGACCCCCAGCACTCTCTCCCGGGGCCCGTGTGGGAAGCGGTCCTGCAGGCACGTCCTGGCCTGGGAGCCCTCCTGTGCCCGTGGCTGCCCGGCTCTGAGAGAGGAGGCGGGCGTGCCTCCCTGCGGATCCAAGGTGTGCCACAGTGACCCATTTTTAACTCCGAGGAGCCTCTGGGCCTGCTGGCCAGAAGAGGCGCTGGTTAAGAGCACGCTTGGCCTTGACCTCCCGCGTGCTCCACCGCAGACCCCCACGTGGACCGGTGTGCCTGGGGGCGGGGTGTGCCCAGATTTCCAGGAACAAAAGTGAGGGAACTTGACACCGGATGGCATGAGTGACCAGAACACTTGATGTTGCCTTTCCTTTTTTTTTTTCTTTTTTTTCTTTTTTTGGGGGGAGGGAGGGTGTCGCGCTACCACATCCAGTGTTCTGTGTGTCCTCAGCCTCCGTCCGGTCCCCGCTCATCAGCCAGAGCGATATCCCCGCATCCTTCACCTCTCTGCGTTCACAATATTGAGGCACTCAAACAGGCCTAATCTCGCCTCGCGAAGACTCCTTTGTTCTGCCTGCTAAAATGTCTTGTAATTGTGCTCGGGATGTCCAGATGGCTGGCTGATACTCCAGCTGATAGGATTATACCTTTTACCTCTCCTAGGGCCATCTGTTCCCCTCCGCCCGAAAGCCCCGCCGCCTGGGCCGGCCCTCCTGATTGCATAAACCTAACCGCATTACGGCGCTTGGCATGCAAATCGCCGTGCCGCCGGCCGGGCAGGGCGGAGCTGTAAGCGGGGCTGGAGCCCCTGACAGGGGACAAGAGACAAGGGGAGAGAAGAGGGAGGTCGCCTGCCTGCAGGAAGGCGGGTGGCCGCGCCACGCACCCACGTTCCATCCTGCAAATACCCGGCCTCGCTTCCTGCGCGGGGGCCGCCGTGGCAGGCGTCCACGGCGACAGCAGGGGGGATGCGCCTGCTTGGAAGCCATCGGCGAGTGTGTCCACACGGCCGGTGAATATGAGATGATTGGATAATGAGGTGTTAGCGGGGAGAGGCTGCGCACGGCAACGCCTGGGGTTTGTGGGGTGACTTTCTCCTTCGAGCCTGTGAGGCGGCCTCGGCACCGGCATCCCGCCCCCGCTCGGCGTCCCGGTCGGGTGGACGGAGGTCCCTGGGCTTTGGGACGAGGTGGCCGGACCCTATAATGAACCCCTAAGGGCCAGCTCTCCCCGGAAGGGACAGGATCACAGGGTGGGTCTCTCTTCCTCCTAGAGAGAGGGGCTGGCGTGCCCCGTGGGACTCTGGGGCCAGTCGACACCTGGCTGCTGGGGCCGGTTCCGGGAAGACCTAGGCCCCGTGGCTCCTGGCACCTCTCTGCCCCTGACAACGAGGGGCCGCTCTCTGGGGTGGGACGGGTAGCTCGCTCTCCTTGCAAGAGAGGGGGACGTGGTTCGAACGTTGGTTTCAAAAAGGACTGAGAAACAGGCATTTACAACAAAAGCAAATCCTGATCAACACCGCTTCTGCTCGCGGCTTCTGATGATTGGGTTCCACCTCGAAGGGGCCCTCGCGTGGCCTTTGTTTTTCTAAACGCCGTGCTTTCTGCTCACGGTCAAACGCTCTTCTCACGCCACTTACAAAAATAAATACTTGTACTCCGCTCAGATCCTAATGGCTCATTAGAGGAGGCTGGTTTTGGGCCCAGACAACAGCCCAACACCAGAGGGCCGAGGGGCCTCCGGAGCCTATCGCGTGGCGAGCTGGCGCTCTCTGGGGAAGCGGGGACCGAGGCCGGGGACTCAGCCCTCTTAATTGTGAGCCTCATTAGTGCTGGTTGCTAGGCAAAACACACACCTACCTTCAGCGCACAGGAAGGAGATAAACAGTGCGTCACCGATGCTAATGACTGGGCGCCCAAGGCGACCTTTAATTATTATATTTTTGTTCTCTCACACCTCAGTCATTAACGGGGAAAACAAATGAGTTTATTTCTGTGGGCCACAGCAGATTCGCACGCTGGCCTCAGTGCGTGGGTCTGAGTCACGCTTCGCCCGGATCATCTGCATGTGCTCCGTGCGTTTCCCTGGGATGTGTGTGCGCATGTGGCTCCTGACCCGGAGGCCTCGGGAGGGAGGCTCTGCCTACAGCCCCGCGGCCTGACGGGCTCTTTGCTCCAAAGGCTTGGACTGTGCTGTTTTCTTTACAAGTCACTTAAAGAAAACCTCACGTCACTCTCTCAACAGTTCACATTGGCCAAAAGGCTTCAGCCCACAGGCCTGGCAGCACGTGAGTGAGGGGCGTGGCCAAGGCCACGGTGTCAGGGTTTCTGAGTTCTGGCTCATGGCCCAAGAGTACCTGCCCCTGCCTGTCTCTCTTACTACAGTCAGTCTCTTTCAACAAGCAAAGCAAGAAGTCAAGTGGAAGCGTTTGGTACAAACACCTTTGGCTATTGTTTCTCACCTACTCCACCCTGCCTTTATGGGTAATCACCCCCCCCCCCCGTCCATCCACCCATCATCCATCCACTCACCCACCCATCCATCATCCACCCATCATCCACCCATCAATCCATCCATCCACCCATCTTCCATCCATTCACCCATCCATCCACCCATCATCCATCCATCCATCCATCATCCATCTTCCATCCATCCATCCACCTATCCAGGGACAAGGTATGGTCCCGGACTCCATCCTGAGCTGATGGGACCAGGATGTAACCACCCACACCACAGCATGCACCAAGTCTGTGGGGATGACCTTCTGGATGGGGGCTGAGGATAAGCCAAAATAAAGCCAAATACTAAATTAAAACTCCAAGGAAAACTCTAAGCAAAAAAAAAAAAAAAAAAAAAAAAAAGCTTAGAAACAAACCAATGCAGTGAAGGCCGTGGTGGGTGAGGGGAGGGGAGAAGCTGAGCCCTCTTTAATGGCAAGGAGAAAGGGAGGGGCCGGGCCACTCTGAGCAACACCAGGCCCGGCCACGCATGACGGGGGAGGCCTGACCAGCCGGGGGTGGGGGCTTGGGGACAGGAACTCAACATGAACCAACAGAAAGGATGGTGCAAAGGAAAAGAAGCATTGCAAATAAAAAGAGACATGTAACATGTGCCTACCATTTTCCAGATAAGAAGGGGCCGTACCTTCTGACGGGTCGAGGCGGCGCGCCCGCCGCCCGTGTTTGGAGTTGTTGTGCACAAACATGTTGTCGGACACGGCCAGCACGTGGCCGTCCACGTTGACGGTGGTCGACACAACAACCTGCGGAGAGGAAGGAGATTTGAAACGGGAGCCGGTGAGGACGGCGCTGCCCACAGCGGCCACCGGAAGCCTCAGCCCGGACTGCCCGGGCGGGCCTCCAGGCCCAGGGGCGGTCACAGCTCTTTTTGGCGGACGGGAGTGGGCGGGCGGTTTGGTTTTGTTTGGTTTGGTTTTGCCTCGAGATTGAGGCTCTTGAAAACCTGCTCCCCTAATTACAGCTTAATCTCCTATTATGCTAACAAGTGAATTCAATTCGGAGGAATATCTTCTAGCCATTAGCTTCGGAAACACCCCTCTGGCCACTCATTTTAAAGCTGCTGTTTTGATTGATCTGCTCACATATTGATTGGGTAGTTTATCTAATTAAAATTAGTTCACTCGAGACAGTCCTCCTCGACAAGGGCTGAGGATTCGGTTGCCAAAAAGGGCTTCTGACATCAAGCGTGGTCCTTCTGCCCAAATCCTCCCCGCAAACTCGGGGGCCAGTGTCACAATCACAGGGATTGTGTCTGCATCGGAAAAGGCTGAGATGAACAGGAAGAGTGAGCGTGACCTCAGCCCGGGGGCAGGATCCTTTCTAGAGTACCTGGCGAGGATGGCCAGGACCCCCCTCCCCACAAGCCTGCCCAGCAGTGTCCTCTCCTTGGGCTGAGATTCCTGTCTTAAGTCCAGGCCAGAGGATGGCCAGGGGGAGTCAGGGAAAGGCCTCTTGCCCTCAGAGGAAGTGAAAAAGGAACTCTTGCAGTGGGGAAGAGGGGGGGGGTGGGGACCAGAGGGCCTTCCCAGTTGCCCGGGGACCAGCATCCCAGGACAGCCCCCGAGGTGGGTCTGTGTGGCCCGTTATGTCTGGAGAAGCTGGGGCAGCAAAGACGGGCCCCGGTGCAGTCTGGGGATGGTGCCCAGCGGCAGGACTTCTAGGGCTGGTGCCTGGGTTTGGGGGGCAAGAAGCCTGGCTCTTCGCCACGTGTGGGCAGCGCTGGGGGCCAGCACCACCTGGAGAGCCACACCCCGCCAGAACTCTGGGCTTTAGCAGGTGAGCAGGGAAGCAGAGGGGTTGGCGTCCACGTCTGCCTTCCCCACGCGGTCTGCACGCATCAGAGCGCGCCCATAATGATGGTGAGAAGCCGAATCTACTGTGGCCCCGAGTCAATCAATGTATCAGCATCGGTTCCTCTGACAGAGCCAAGACCACCCACGGCAAGACTTTGCTAATGAGGGGAACGGGGGGAGGGGTACCTGGGGGCAAATGGAAATTCTCTGTACGCTTGTGAAATTTTCTATAGGCCTGAAACTGCTCTTAAAAAAAAAAAAAAAAAACTACTAGGGAAAAACTGATTTAAAAAATCATGTGTAAGGGTGAAAAAAAGGCCAAAGCTACATACCTACGCACAAATGCATGGTGAGTAACAGCTTCTATAAAGCTCTCCGGCCCCACAAGAAGACTGAAGCGGGGCAGGGAGCACTGTACCCCCAAAGCTCCCTCCCTGGGGCACTCTCCCTGGCAATTCCCTCCCCTTGGTATCCCCAAGGCTGGGGGAGTCTCCCCAATATCAGGCCCCTCTGAGCCATGAAAGATGCCCTCCACCATCACTGTCGGCTCTCTCAGCGTCTTCTCTGCTGCCCAGAGGGCGGCACCCTGCACTGCCCTGGTAGAGAGGAGTCCGGCACACGCTGGGCCACCTCCTCGGCCTGTCTGCCAGGCCCCGCCCAGGGATGCCGGGCCCCGCCCCCACACATCACAGGGGGAGGGCACAAAGACACCCAACCACCACTGAGACGCAGCCCTGACCCTTTTAAAGTGACCAGACCTGGCGTGTGAAAGAAACAACCAAATGAAGGCACCGGGCTGGCTGCCAACCACATACAGGTCTGTCTGCTCGGGAGAGAGCAGTTCGGCGGAGAGAGCAGACAAGCGGGGTTCGTGTCCCGGCCTGGGCCCAGCCCGCGCTCCTCCAGGACAGAGCCAGGGTGGTGAGACCGGGTGGAAACACTGCGTGAGCCTGACCTACTGGTAAGTCCAGTTAACCCCCCGCAAGGCAGGGAGATCAGCCAGAGAGAGAGGAAGTGGCTGCAGCTGGGCCGGGGCTGCCTGCGGGCGCTGCGGGCTCAGGGGTGAGCTCTGCTCTGCTCTGCTCAGAGGGACCAGGAGCACCTGCGGGGCCTTGGGCAAGGCCAACGGAGGCGGGGCCTGCTATTGGCAAGAGACACTGTCCCAGCTCCAGAGCCTGATTGGGTGAGCCCCAGCTCCCTTCTCTGATTGGCTGGTTGGCTGTGTAGATGGGTGTCACATGTGTCTCTGGTTGGCTGTAAGGACAGGTGTCACGTTTTGCTAACATGCTAGCGCATCAGCTAAGTTTCAAAAAAAAAAACAAAAAACCCTGTGAGCCATTTGATGGTGAACTCATCCAAGCTGGTGGACCTTTGTGGTGGCTGCCAAATTCTTCTCTGATTGGTCTAGGGACCAGCAGTGTGTGTGTGTGTGGGGGGGGGGGGGGCAGGCCAGAAGACGTTTTACCACTAAAATTAGCAAAACTCCTCACCCTGAAGGCACCTCCTAATCCTCCACAAACGAAGGCAAGAGAACGGGGGCCTGGCTCATCATTTACGCCCGAAGGCACCCAGCTCTGCCCTTCTCTCTTGGGGTGCAGTCCTCAGAGCAAACTGGGGGGTGAGCAGCGGGCCCAGGAGCTGTGCAGGAACCGGGCAAGGAGCTGAGGTGGAGGCCAGGACACATCCGGCCTCGGGAGGGGAGCTGGGCCAAGCAGCAGGCCGGAGTGTGCCGAGGCCAGCATCCCCCAGGTGGGGAGGGCAGGTTTGGAGTAGACCCCTCTCCCCCAGGAAAAAAAGTCAACCGACCAATGGATCCCTAAAAGGTCTCTGGCACCACTGGAGCATGAACAGCCACGTGCCATAGAGAAACAGGCTGGTTTAGATGCTCATGTTTAGAGAACTCTATGTGAAAAAAATTAAAAGACAGTCCCTTTCAATCACACACCCCTGAGATTCCCCATGGCTGCTTGCAAGCAGGACCCCAACTTAACGCACAGCTGTGGCAGCTGACGCCCTGGAGCTCGCCTGGTCCTCGGGGCACCAACACGGGTCATGTCTGCAGTGCCTCATGGGCCATGAGCGGGTGAGTGGATGGATGGGTGGGTGCAATGCATCTGGCGTCCTGAAGACGCCGATCGTGTTTAAAGCATTTGACTTAAGGGCTTTGGTTTACTCCCACGCCCTTGAGAACTAACAACGATCGTTTTCAGAACAGCTGCAACATCAGAGAATTCAAACTTCGCGGGTCTGGGACGAGGGTGTACCTGGAATCTCCGCATATCTCGAGGGTTGCCTGCATTCTTCAAACAGTTCTGATTGCACTTGAGGAAAAACTTTAGAAAGAATCTACAAAAATACAAAAACAAAAAAGTAATTGTTAGGGTTATCAGACACCAGATGAACACCTTTCAAAGATGCTCTTGCACGGGGTGTGGTGGGGGCTGTCCCACACCTGCCAGCTCGCTGCCCTGCTAACGGCCAGCGTGGACGGTCTTCACCTGAAAGCAGTGACTTCCGTTGGTCTGGACAGGATGGCTTTCCACGTTTTAGTAGAACCACCGTGACTTACACTGGGGGCCGTCTCTCACCTAGATCTTCGCACCGGTGGCCATGACCCGTTAGGGCCCCGCCCGACCCAGAGGGACCAGCAGTGTCAGCCAATGGAACCCCGGACGCCTGGTCACACTGGAGTTTTGGACAAACAGCAGGGCCTTTGGGCGAGGGAGAGGTACACGATGGGACCTGCCCATCTGAAAAGTTGTTCACTGTGCCTCTGAAATTCAAATTTCCCTGGACCTGCCTCTCTCCGGCAGCCCCATCCCCAGAAGACATCACCAGCTGCACAAACACACTTTTCAAGATGCTTTTTGACCAGCACCCAAGGACAGGATTATTGACGAGAGAGAGAGAGAGAGAGAGAGAGAGAGAGAGAGAGAGAAACATTGATGTGAGAGCCGACCGGGATCAAACCCTTAACCCTAGGTATGTGCGCTGACCAGGAATTCCACCCACGTTTCATGTACCAATGACACTCCAACCAACTGAGCCATAACGTCCAAGGCCAAGATTAAGGTGACCAGACGTCCCGCTTTTGGCGGGACAGTCCCGATTTTTAACAATTTGTCCCGCATCCCGAGGCCTTTTAAAAAAGTCCCGATTAAATAGCGACAAATTGTTTTTTAAAAAGGCGTTTTAAAAAAGTCCCGATTAAATTGCGGGACAGATTGTTAAAAATCGGGACATCCGGTCCCCTTAGCCAAGATGCGTGTTTAAGCTTACAAGAGGTAAAACCCTTTTTTTTTTTTTTTTTTAAGAGGTACAACTCATAATAAAAAGAACAGCTGGGGGTGTTGCCCTGGGGTGACCATGACGTCTGAGAAAGGCCTACGTGTGTCTTTAAGGGAGTCATCAACGACCCTCAACAGGACAGTGATGGGGTTGGGGGGGGATGCTATCCGGGGCCAGCCCCAGCTCATTAGCTCCCGCTGAGCCTCCCCTTGCGTGGAGAGGCAGGAAGACGCGGTCCTGACAGCCCGCTGAGCTGCCGTGACAGCAGCATCATCATGTCGTCCTCCCCATCCCTCCGTGCCGATCCGTGACAGGCGCGGGTGCTCTGGCTCACAGCACAGGCAGGGCGGCCTGGCTGCTGCACCAGCCCCGGGGCAGCGGGGTCTGGTGCCTGAGCCCCCGGCCTCCCCTGGAAGGAGGCCCCGGCCAGGGCGCGCTCTCTCTCCGGGAGTCTGAGCGCCCCGTCCACCAAGGCGGCACCGGCACCTTCTCTCGCTGCTCTCCAAGGACCACCCGCCTTACATTCCTGGAAGGTTCCCCATGGCTTCCCTGAACCAACCTGAGGCTCACGGCTCCTGGCGGGCACGGGTCACACCCCAAAACGAGAAGCCTCCACAGACCGCGGTCCGGGCCCCGCGGACCCTGGACGCCGCTCCCTCCGTCCCAGCCGAAGCTCCCGGCGATGGCGGCGGGAGAGTGGAGACCGCTTAATTAAACGTCCTTACGTGTCGCCATTTTAGGCCGGAATTTACATCTTTTATTAACTCACCTCACCTCCACGGCGGCGCGCGGAGCACCATCTGCCACCGGCCCCGCCACCAGCCACTTGAAATTCCACCCACCCGTTCCCCCTAACGGCCCCGCAATTAGGCGCCACGCGCGGCGGCGAGGTAAATTGGGCGCACCTGCGGCCGCCCTGCACTTGAACTGCATCCGACGGGGCCTAACAAGGTGAGGGCGGCACCGAGTTATCGTCCTCGCAGGCAATTAGGTTTCCACTTCGGGGACGGCCGCGCGGGGCAATTATGCCGCCCATTACCAGCCGGCTAATCTCCGAGCAGGCGCCCGCCGCCGCCGAGGAGAGGACGGGCGGCTGGTCCCACGGAGCCGGCTCTGGGGGCGCCTTCTGTGCGGGGAGAGACGCCCCCTCCTGAGGAGCCTCTTCGGTTCCTCCCAGTCCTTCCCGCCCGGTCACCCCAGGCCTCCGAGGGGCTTGAAGGTCACCCGGCCAGCCTCCGCCTCACCGGCACAAGGACCACCGTCCTCGGTGCAGAAAAAGCCTGCGTCGGGAGCTGGATACCCTCCAGGGTGGACTCCCTCCCGGCAGGTGCGCTCACCCACACTGCACTGAGCGGGGACCTGGAAGAGTCTGGAGCGTGTGGCCCTGGGAAGCAGGGTCCCCTGAAGGATGCGGGTCCGGGGAGCACACACCCAGTGGAGGAGAACATGTGCAGGGACAGACAGAGGCAGCGTGGGCAGGAGGCGGGGAGCCCACGCCCACGTGTGACCCTCGTCTGGGTAACGACGGACTCAGGGGTTCAGCCAAGCCTTCGGGGGGCAGACAGCCCAGGCTGGCTGGCCCACTGACTCCTGGCCTGGCACACAGGTTGTGTCCGAGCACACGGACCAGCAGTGCCCGGGGAGACTCCCCTGGGACCATGTTTGGGGAGGGCAGTGAAGACACCGAAGGCCCGACGGTAATTCTCGCTCTTTCCTCAGTGACCCTTCCATGGGCTTTTTTCCCCTAAGAAGCATCCCTTTCCCTATCTCCCTTCCCGAGGCCGGGACACAAAGGGCTTAATCCTCTGCTGAAGAAAGGGGGAATCTCTGCCCTGTCAGAAAAGCTTCGGCGTCCGCACCGATAAACTCTCCATCACCGCTCAGCGCGGGTGGGCGGGCGGGCGGGCGGCTGGATGGCCGGGTGGTAAACGCCCGGACCTGTCATTAGGACATTACGCCTAATTGTGTGCAGTGTGTTTCCTGTGGCCGCCGCTGGCCCGTCGTCAGAATGAGCATTATGTACACTAATTCCCTGACCCCGGCTTTATTTCCCTGCAGAGCCGTCATCTTTCACAGTAGGCACCGGAGTAAATCAAGCTTGAAATATGGGCTTTATTTACTCGTTTCTCCCCGGCCGGCGGGAGGCGGCCGCGGCGGCCACAGGGCACACGCCCCCGTCCCGTTCCGCTCGGAACCGGCCGCTCCGGCCCGGGAAGGAGGTACTCCTGGGCGAAGGCGAGACGGTGTGATGTCGAGGCGCCCGGATCCCGGCTTCCTCCTCCTGGGCACCGGCAGGAGGGGAGGATGCCACCTGGGCAACCTCGTTGGTTCTCAGAAGAGCAGGTTTTGGGGGTGTCCCTCTCAGGAGTACCCTGAGTTCAGCACCTGGAACCTCCGTGTGACCCCGGAAGCTCCAGGCCTGCCGTCCCCTCCGCAGGGACAGGGGCTCCATGGCTCCCGGCAGAGCTGTGGCCACAGGTGTACCCACTGAAGCAACTTAAAAGTGGGATCCCGGCCGAAACCGGTTTGGCTCAGTGGATAGAGCGTCGGCCTGCGGACTGAAAGGTCCCAGGTTCGATTCCGGTCAAGGGCATGTGCCTTGGTTGCGGGCACATCCCCAGTAGGAGGGTGTGCAGGAGGCAGCTGATCGATGATTCTCTCATCGATGTTTCTAACTCTCTATCCCTCTCTCTTCCTCTCTGTAAAAAAAAAATCAATAAAATATATATTTTTTTAGAAAGTGGGATCCCAGTGACAACTGTGTCAGAATCCGCTCGGACAACGCCCAAGAGGAGGGGGGGGGGGCGCTGCACTGTGGAACCCGGGGCCCACACCGGACCATGGGCTGGGGCGTCGGAAGTGGGGCCGCGGCAGCCACCCCACCCCGCGGGGGGAGCCTCCCCCCACCGCCGCCGTAACTAACCTGGAAGTTGGCTCCCCTCTCTGTGTGTTTAAGCCGTGAATGAGTTCATTTATATTTACTTTTATGAAGCTGATTAACCAGAGCCTCTCCGCCTGATGAAAATCATTTTAATTGTGGCGCGAGGCTCCTGTGTAATATCCATTACGCCGGGAACTGCTTAAATTCTACGTGGGCATTGTGCAAATCGGCCCTCTGCGCGCGCGCCGGCAATTAGGGCCGCGCGGCGCCCCCGCACGCCGCCCCACAACTCCGTGGCGTGGCGCACGCAGGACGCTCGGAAACAAAGGAGGCCGTTTAATTGTAATTTAATGGAATATCAAGGAGTCCGCGGCATGCGACGCTGGCAACCGAGAGCAGGAGAGGAAAAATTAACTGCAATTACGTTTGATTAAAGCCATCCTTCTCAATAATCAGTGGTCCTGACAGGCCACGGGGCTCTCGTGGGGTCCGCGATGGCGAAAGGTGTTGAGCAGTATTAGGGCCAATAAAGGGGATATTAGCATAGCTAATTACAGCCCCGCAGAACCCGGGAGGGGGCCTCTGTGTATTGTAATGTGCGGAGTAATTGGCCCGGGCCGTTATCAATTACGTAAGGAATGAATTCGGTTTGTCGGAGAGAAGTGAGGACACGCGTGTCGGCTGACACCGCGCCCCTCCCGCCGGGCGGGCTCCCTGGCGAGAAGGACTCGCCCACGTTCGGCAAACGCCGCGCTTCCCGGCGCTGGATCGCGGACAGTCACGCAGCTGGCGCTGACGGATGCCCCTCGCCCGCACCGCCCGCACAGCCCGCCCCGGGACAGCGGCTGTTCGCCCAGCGGAAGTCACCCATCACGTCATCACGCCGCCTCCCCCCCTGGCCGGAGGAGAGAGAGATGGACTCCTTAAAAAGGCTGAGCGTGGGCGCGCTGCGACCCCCTCGGTGGCCTCTGCCATGTGGGATCGCTCAGTGGAAATCACCTGCTCCCAGCATCTCAGGATCATTTCTCTTTAAAAAAAAAAAAAAAAAAAAAAAAGTCTATTTTTATTGGTTTCAGTGAGAGGAGAGGAAAGGGAGAGAGCGAGAGAAACATCAATGATGAGAGAGAATCACGGATCTGCTGCCTCCTGCACGCCCCCTACTGGGGATCGAGCCTGC